TTCCACCTGGTTCTCCACTTAGACATCTCCTCAAAGGTTGGCCCCTCATTCTCCATCTGTTTACTTACTTTATTTCAATAGCATTGATCACTACCTGACATTGTTATTTGCCGCAGTCTGGCTGGGCACAAAATCATGAGCCACTCAAGCAGGAACAAACTTTATTTCCAAAACTTCCGCAAATGCCACGCATGCAGTTTTCTCCCGGGCCACACCACACCAACCGGAAATCCTTTCTTGGGAAGTCCCTTTTACCGTACTTCCCCAACCAATGGGAACTCTCCGGGAGTCCTGGGAGAGCTCCAAAGTAGCAGGCCTAGGCAGACAGCAGGGGTCTAATCTCCAATTGAATGCACATCTTAATATAATCATTATCATCTCAATGGCTTACTGGGGTCACCTTTCAACCAAAAATGCCATGCGTCATTCCTACTCGGCTATGGCTCTTAGCAGTTATTTTATGTATTTATACCAAAATTATATATGTACTTATTTGTTGTTTGACTCCTCCAGGAGCTATTGAACTCCCCAGGGCAGGAGTCTTGCTCATTGCTGTATTTTGTGCACATTGGCCAGCACCTGGCATAGCATGGACTCTCAGTAGATATTTACTTCATGCTTAAGTAGTAGGTGTTTTTGTTTAAACAAAGGATTACTTCCAATATTGTAGAAATATTCACATTGATTTTCTGTGGACACGTTTTGTGCTTTTCCTAATTACAACTAAGAGTAGAGAAGGAAGGAGAGGTGGGCCATGCATCTAGAGTAGTAGAACCCAACTCTACTCTCTGGGCTCCTTTCTGTATGTAGTTTTCTATTTTGTCAACAGTGAAAAAAGCCAGAATGAGTGCCAATGCCAAAGAAAGAGATATCTGTCAGAATTTATAATACAAGCTTTCTTTGATGCCTTCAACAGCCTGCAGCTGTGTGGATTAGGTCTTCTTAATGATAATGGGAAGCACGGGGAAGCTCAGGCTGTTGACATGGAGTTGTTAACCACCACCTGGACTCTAAGTCTGATATGATTGAAGGGCTGACAGAGTGGGTCTAGAATAGGACATTGTTGCAGAGGTCAGGTGGTTTTGTTTTTCTTTCCTTCCATTCTTTCTGTAGGGCCTAAAGTAGTGACACCTAGGAGGAGGACAAAAAAGAGTATGAATGTCCTAAGTTTATAAGAAACAGTGATCAGGTTTGCTCCACCCTGATATGGAGAGGAAGGTGAGAAGGGTGGGGCTCTGCTCAGGTGAATGTGGGCACTCATTGTCTGACTATTTAAGAGAGACACTGCCTCAGTATTTAATATTGAGGTTGTGGCTAAGATGAAGTTAGTCCACTGAAGCTTGTGTCTGTTGCTGACTACCAAAATCCACGGACAAGTTACCCGAGGACTCAAAAAATAAAGAAAATCTGGCGGATGGGGAAGATATGGAAGCCTGGAGAAGTGAACTGTTTGTGGAACAGTTGGGTGAATTTCTTGTAGCTTTTCTTTTCTCTCTGGTCTTTCTCTCTGGCTAAAGGGCTCTCAGCAGAGCTGCAGTGGGGGGAGGAGGGGAGTTCAGAGGTAGCTAAAACCTAAGAGAAATCCCAGCTTTCTGGCCAGAAGACCAAGGATTTGTGGGCTGGAGAGAATGGAGGGAATGGCCTCTTCACTGTATCACGGTATGCAGATACCTTAGAGAAACAGAGTTCCTGGGCAAGAGAACCTTGAAAGAATCAAAGGCCAGAGTGCGGAAGTATGCCTGTTTTGATTTCTCTTTTTTCTTTCTTTGCTTTGCCCCCTGTATGGCTCTCTGAGGGTGTCCCTCCTGAGGGGCAACACAGGCAGCTAGAACCCCCAAAGAAGCCCCAGTCTATGGGACAGAGAATTGGGAGAATCCTGGAGAGGAAAGAGCTGGGGAAAGGTCACTTCCTATGTTGTGTATGAGCTGGCCCAGGCTCCTTTTGAGCTGTGTTCATGGGACAGACCCAAAGCAGCATAGCAATAAGCCTTGAGAACTAAAGTGATATTGGAACTGTCACCCACTTGCTGTTTAAACCTAACCAGATTGATGGCCTGACAAAATGGAACAAACAAAACCACAGTACTTTTTGGAGAAAGCGGACCAGTGTTAGATCGTTGTAGTTGAAATGAACATACTCAAGAACAGCTGTATGAGTTGTTTATGATTACTGGTGAACTATCTTTATGGGTTCAAAACTGTCTTTAATG